CATGCTCAGTGACAGTGAACTCCGTGATCAATGTGAGAGGACACTTGGTCAACAACCTGGTCATCTGCCTATGCAGCCTGGATCTATGAGCTTTGTCCCTTCCCAAGCATTTGCCACTGAGTATGAGAAGCTAGAGAGAGAAATCCTTTTTCATCTAGGTAGTTACCAACAACTAGAGACTGAGGAAGACACAGGGCAAAGCTTCCCAACAATCACCCTAAACATCACTGGGTTGCTGCTCACTGTCAGAGCAAGGAGATAAATTGAGCAAGGGCAGAGCACCCACCTGATCCTGCTACCCAAGCCCTTCTCAAAATCCCAGCTGGGTTCCTCATGGTGATCTTCCCACTCTCGAAGCACCTCATAGAACACATCCCTGAAAGACATGCAAGCTTGATCAGCTGAATCCCTGTTGCCTTTCACCCACTTCCCACAGCACTTTCCCTTGCTTGGAAGGTTTAAGATAGGCCTACCCACAGCCCATCCTTAACCTCCATAGTTCTCTACATGATGGTATGTTACAGACCCAGCAGCAGCACATCATAGGCATCTGTGGACAGGGAAAGTTGACCCTAAGATGGTTGGCTAAGCTCAGGGATTCAGGTCTGTGGACATGAAACAGAATGAAGCCAACAGGCTTTATGATGACTGTCAGAAAAGGCCTGACAGTACTAACCCACCACTTTTAGCGCCTAAGTCCTACTTCTATGACAGTAAACTGCTTTCTATTCCCTCCTCAACAAGTCCCTTCTTTTCACCTCTGTTTTTTAAAAGTATGAAAGGCTCGATCACTGGAGAAGTTGGCACGATTGTCAGTTTCTGGCTGAAAGGAGACAGCTTGAGCAGAGGGTGGTATCACCAGAGAAACCTAAAACATGCCAATAACATTAGGAAATAAGACCTGCTGCAATCATGTTAGAAGACTTTACCCCTTATTCCTGTCCAAAGTTAGCCCACCTGACAGCACCATGAAGCTTGCCTGAATTTACAAAATGTGTAGGCTACTAGGATCCTAAGTGGGGTGACTACCTTGGCAACACTGCCTTCATAAGCAGCTCGAAGGCGGCCTTGCAGAGCTGGAGAGAAGCACATCAGCCGCTCATTCTCAGCCAGCAGTTTCAAGGTCCCTTTGTCCAGGTAGGAGAGAACCCTGCAAAGACAGGAGCACATATGACAGACTGAATCATAGGCTACAAGCACAAAGTACACCTGACACACAAGGCAGTGTTTAAGCCTAAGCTAAGGATTAATCTGATGAAGGTAAAGGGTGAAGAATAAGACCTCATGGAGCTGAGATCAAGAGAGCAAGCTAGAAACATAGACATAGCTATAAACATAAGTCAGTCTCCATGTCTAATTAGTACTATTCTTTTTTTGTCTTATACATGGCTCTCCACATGGATGGCAAGCACTCCACTGATTTATATACTTAGACCCTTTGTCCCCCTCTTTGGTATATTTATTATTTGGGACTATACCTCACTAAGTTCAAAGCTGGTTTTACATTTTCTGCAACCTGGGCCAGTCTTTTAACTTCTTTTAACTTGCAATCCAGTCTTGGCACCAGACCCAGCTATTTTATAATATATATATATATATATATATATATATATATATATATATATATCATACAATATTCTGTCTGTGTGTATGCCTCATTACAGATGGTTGTGAGCCACCATGTGGTTGCTGGGAATTGAACTCAGGACCTCTGAAAGAGCAGGCAATGTTCTTAACCACTGAGTCATCTCTCCAGTCCGCTACTTAATTTCTTTAGGGGAGAAACTCACAGCCTTGACACAAAATTAAATGTTACTGGTGCCTTTAGTTCCAGTACTTGAGAGGCAGAGGATGGAAAATCTATGTAAGTTCAAGGCTAGTTTGGTCTACACAGGGAGTTCAAGGCCAGCCAAGGGCTAAGTAGTAAGCCTCTGTCTCAAAAGAATCAACCAACCAACAAGAAAATAGGTGAAAAAAGTCTAGGGCCATAGTATTTATGCTAAGCACAATCATGCATCCCGAATGGCTAGAAGCAGACAGACATGAGACTAAGCACACCGCCTCAGCTAGAAAAACTCACTGAAACTGATGCTCCAAAACCTGCACCGCAAAGAAGACGCAGTCATGGATGCTCTGAAACAGGGGCGTTTCCAGGGGATCTAGGACAACAGCAAATGGTTAGTTAGAACTATCCCACCTGCAAACCTCAGTTCTCAAAATGAGACTTGCTTACTGACCTAGGGTGCCCTGACTTGAGTCAAGGTCACTATTCTTGGTGGCCACCATTCTCCGGGCAGTAAGAAGCTGAAGGACGAAGAAAAGCTCCAAGAAAAGGTTTGGTACCAGGTTCTCTAGATTAAAAAAAAAAAAGCCATAACATTGGGCACTGACAACCAGGGCTCTATGTGCCTTACCCATGCTCTTACCCTGTAGTTGGCAAGCATACCCACCGCAGCTCCCACTGCTCGTACTTACCAGCAATGCACGAGGAGTAGATAAGGGCTACCAGTTCCAGGCGCTGTCGAGAAGACACTCGAGCTGGGTCAGCAGGTTCTGCTGTGAGGCTTCCTGTCCGACTGGGGATGGGAGAACCCAGCTCTGGGATGGGACAGGCCGGGGTAGGTGACTGCTGCAGCTGCGTGGAGCTATGTGAACAGAGGGATGTCAAGATTACTCAGCCTGGCTTTCCAGCGACAGTCATACTCAGGTTCTGCCAAGAAGGTATCAAAAGCCCAAGAAGCAAACCCAGAATCCCCAAGGGAGAAATCAAGTTCAGGAGAAATCCCTGCAAGTCCCGCACAAGAGGGAAGCTGACATCCCAGGTGGCGGCAAAGCCATACCGCGCCTTCCTGAGCATCTCCCGCTCCTCTTGCAGACTTCTGCACCCTGGGGGAAGGCCAAGGCCCCAAGGGCTAGTGTCCAGGGCTGAGGGTTGGGAACTGGGGACACAGCTGATTGGGGGTGAGGTGAAGCAGGTCTTGGGCTTGGAAAGCGACCGCTCTTCGCTCACCGGAGTTGGGTTGATCCTTCGAGAAGGCTTCGTCCTGCTGAGAGTAATCACAGGTTTTTCTCACATCAGCCCACAACAGCAGGGCCCCTTTCAACCGCCCCCCACCCGCAGCCCCTCATTGTGGCTTCTTCCCTCTCAGTCTTCTAACCATCGCACGTTCTACTGTGGGGCGCTGAGCCCCGCTTTAGCCAATGTCTTGCAATAAGGGCCTATTCTCACCCTGCAGGGCCGGGAGGAACGGTGCCTACGGGAGGGAACTCCTCCAAGTTGCTGAGGTTTGGCGGATCAGAGAGAGAGTGTCTGGGGCTGCCGGGGCTGCCTGAGCCCCGAGGCTTCCGGCCCCCGGCCCAAGGCGGGCTCTCGCCG